TACCGGTTATGATATCCCAAAAATTGCTTAATAGAGCTTGAACTTCGTAGACATCTGTTAATCCGACACCTATTATTACCTCATCATGGATAAATGCAGCATTGAAGAGAAAATTTACCGTTGTCTAAAATTACTTTAGATTACATAATGGGAGAAAGTAATCTAATGAATTATTCTCTACCCCTCTATTATAGGATATTCTAGATTTGTGTCTTTCTTTGAAATAATCTGATATTTTATTTGCTGTCCCTTACATAGAGTTGTAAAGAAAGCCGCATAAATTTGACATTTCTTTAGCTTTTCGCATTTTTGATTTACTTCTCTATCTCTATCTAGTGCACAAATGTGATCCATTGATGAATTTGCAGCAGCAGGTGAATTTTTTAGTAAACCTTGCCCTATATATGATCTTTTTTGTATCCTGAATTTTCTGACTTCTTGATAGTCGAAAGTGTTGATGGCGTTGAAAATTGGTAGCTGTGGAACATTCAATCGGTGAGGTTGAGGTTTCCGAGAGAGGTGTAAAAGGAGGTGATGCCATTGTCAGAGGATGATGATGCCATTGTCAAAAGGAAGTCAGCCATCTCTTGTGTCATCTTTACTAATAACATTAATATTTTTTATTAATGTTATTAGTAAACCAAGAATTGATTTGATTTTATCAACAAATTCTTGGTTGTCTTTATTTAAATTACGAGTTGCAGGTTGCACCATTGGTGAATTTGCACCAGCAAAAGAAGATCTCTACCCCTAGTAAACCTTGCCCTATTTCATTGGTCGGGCAGATCTTTTTTTGTATCCTAAATTTGCTCCCTTCTTGATAGTCGAAGGTGTTGATGGCGTTGAAAATTGGTAGCTGTGGAACATTCAATAGGTGAGGTTGCGGTTTCTGAGAGAGGTGTAAAAGGAGGTGATGCCATTTTCAGAGGACGATAATGCCATTGGTAAAAGGAGGTCAGCCATCTGTTGTATGTCATCGTTACTAACAACATTAATAATTTTATCAGCAAATTCTTTGTTGTCTTTATTTAAATTACCAGTTGCAGGTTGCATCATTGGTGAATTTGCAGCAGCAGAAGATCTCTACCTCTAGTAAACCTTGCTCTATTTCATTGGTCGGGCAGATCTTTTTTTGTACCCTAAATTTTCTGTCTTTTTGATAGTCGAAGTTGTTGATGGCCTTGAAAATTGGTAGCTGAGGAACATTCAATAAGCGGGGTTAAGGTTCCCGAGAGTGGTGTAAAAGGTGAAGAAGGTGTCAGAGGATGATGATGCCATTGTTAAAAGGAGGTCAGTCATCTGTTGTGTGTTATCGTTACTAACAACATTAATAATTTCATCAGCCTATTCTTGGTTGTCTGTTTTTAAATTAAACCAATTTAAAAACAGACAACAAATTACCAATTTTTCCAAAGAAATCTTTTAAAAGCAGTAAGCTGTTAAAATATGGTCAGTCGATATTATCTTCTACTGCGGGATCTCCTGACCTCCGAGGTATACAATATGATAGGTATCAATATAATATCAAATGTACCTTGAACTGTTGTTCTAAAACTTACCATACATATATCTTTTTGGCGTCTGCAACTAAAAAAAATATTAGGTTATTTTCATTTGATCCAAAATACTTTATTTTTACAGTATATTTTGCTTTTCAGAAAGGAAAAGTTTAATGATAAAATATTTTTTTCTGAGCTTCAAAATTTGTTAGTTATAAAACAATATTATTTTCTTTTTAAAGTATTATTTTCTTTTAAAACTAACTAACGACATCAAAAAACAGACTTCGCCACTGGATTCTAAATAAAAAAAAAACTATTGAAGGGTCGCTTTTTACCCCAGATAGCACAAAAGGAACATTTACATTCTAAGAATATTCCTCCTAAGTTCTTATAAGTATATTCTTTTTTTAATAAGTATGGCATATGAATAGTACATTCTACTACGAATGTGATTTAAAGGTATGTTATCAGCATGACCTTAGAATGTCTTCTTAAATTATGGTTTACAATAAATTTTAAGTATCACCTTTATTCGTTCCTTAAACATATCCAATATCTGAATAAAAATACAGGAGAATAAAAATTATTTCGAAATGAAAAAATGAATACAATACATTATATTTAAGGATTAAACGACTTACCTGTAAGGAAGTTCAATCCAAATTATACGAAGTTGGACACGTCCTCCTAGATCACCATGTAGTAATACTTCTGTCACTGTTTTGAGCGCATGTTTAGAAAATGATTCACCGCCTCTTATATCACATTCACTTTCATGTCTCATTTATACTTCTGAAGCATTCTGATCGCCGTTAGGTCGGGTATGTATCTATCATATAGGTAGTTTACCCTTTGATAGTGTGATTCACTTTGTGAGACACATAAGGTGGGTTGATCTAGGAGGACGTGTCCCAACTTCATTATAATTTGGATTGAACTTCCTTACAGGTAAATCGTTTAATCAAGCAAATATAATGTATGTATTCATTTTTCATTTCGGAAATAATTTTGTATTCTCCTATTTATTCGAAAGATATTGATATGTTTAGAAATGTGTGAATAACAGCTACTTAAAATTTATTATGCTGCTATAATTTAAAGACATTCTAAGGTCATGCTGATCCTAACTGTCTGCTAATCACATCTGTGTAGAACGTACCATCTATATGCCATATCTCTATTAAAAAAAGAATATACCTGCCTCCCACATAGCAAAATAATATACCTAGCAGGTGCTTAGAATACACTTTTTTGGTATAAGAATATTGGAAATATGTTCTGAGCATGTGCTAAGAATTACACTTATATATTCTGGGGATGTGCTCAGCATAACCTTTTGGCCGCAAAAAGCATGTGCTATGCACTTGGCTTAAGAATGTTCTAGGAATATTTTAAAATATGCTGAGAATATCCTTGTTTTTATACGTATAGCATATTCTGTGAACATACTTTAAAAAATTAGGGAGGTAAATTTTGTTCAGCACAGGTAGACAGTTATGTCACATCATGACATCTTTCTCTAAAATATCCAAATAGATGTGTAAAGAAACTGTCTACCTGTGCTGAACGAAATATACTACATTTTTCTAGGTATCCAATGGAAATTTTAAATAATAGGAAATCATATACTTACAAAAACATTTATTTGAAAAATTAACAAGAATTTAAATATTATAACGTTTAGTTGCTCCTCCGTTAACGTCCGAGTTGCTCCTCCTGATTCTCAGCCAATCTAAAAAAGTATACCTATATCGTCTCGTAAAAGGAAAATAAAAATAATACACTTACCTTTCCCTTCTTTTATTTTTGTTTGAAATCCTTTCCTTGGCTTTAACAAGCCATCTTTTTATTTCTAATATTACTTCGTCCTCGCACGCATTTGCTGTTCGTTTATTGCATCTCACTGCATCTAAAAAGTTAGAATAAACATGCGTTTTTGAAACCGTCGTTGCTTTCAAATAATTAAACTAAAGGAATATGTCAACAATTTTTTGTGGGCAAAGTTCTTAAATTTAGAACTATAATGTGAAAAGCTATAAGAGTTGGGCACTTTAGACATTTACATACGTATTACATTACATACACATTATTACATATTTATCATTATACTCACCAATTACAACTTTAGACAGGGTGAGGTTAACAAACTTTCTTTTGCCCTTTCCGCCCTCCCAACTGTACAGTTGAGCAAATTCATTTGTCATTATCCGGTACATTATTTTTCTGGTAATTTCAGGAACCATGTTTCCCCCTAATCGACTAAGCTCTTTAGCCTTAAAAAAATGTGCTGTTAAAATTCCAAAAATAATAAAAACAACAGATAACAATGACATGCAGATGATAATAAAGACATATTTCTTACCAGTGCCTTGAAGTTTAATGGTTCAGTAATAAATTGTTCCAGAAGAGCCAACTCATCTTCGTTACTAACAGGGATCTTTTCTATTCCTGTATTGGAATAAAGATCCATGTCATTTGGTCTAATTGCTAATAAAGCCTCTATATTGTCCAGCTGCTCGTCCTGCCTTCCCAGTTTGGCCATTATAATACTAAGTTTGGTTAATACTTGTTTTCGAAATTCTATAAACCAAAAGTCACTATATTATTTTAATATTAATGTAAAGATACACAAAACAACCTTTTTCAGATGGTGCATTATCCCTTTCAAGTGGCTTTGGGAACTGGCATTGCGGTTGGGGCGAGGGGCTTAAGAAGGATGTAGTTGGTGAATTTTTTGGAGTTGCTACCTGAAGACTTCTACACTTACTGCCCATTTGTGATAATATCTAAACAATTTTAAGATTAATATTAAGCATTAATAAAAGAAAAATTTTAGTTAGTCATTTTATAAGTACCTACATTTTCACTTTCCCTCGCCTCCCTTCTTTTACTCATTTCGGTGTGTCTAATCTTAGGGGTTTTTGGGTATTCGGTTTCCGAATCTGCTTCTTCTTTTTCAGATTCACTGGAAGAAGTACACGGTACATATTTTAAATTTTTTGTCCTCTTCCTTTTTATTGTATCATTATTTGAAGAAAGCTCAGATGTTTCTTCTGCCTTCTGAGCTTTTCTTAGGGCAATATCATAGGAGGCTAAAAATATTTAACTAAGTATGATCCAAGACGTAAAAATTGATTTAAAATAAAAGAACAATATCAGAACACTTACCATAATCTCCCAATATTGTAATTGGGTAGTGTTGCCAATCCGGTCCAGGTTTGTCTCTTCTTTTGACGTATCCTGTTGCATTTCTGCTGTTTGGAGGCCATTTACACATGTCCTTGCTGTTTTCAGCTTGGAACAACCACGTGTTTGGGACAACGGCAACTGAGTCTTCCTCATCAAACGCAATAACAACCCAAGGTTGCATTTTTATATGGGGTCAACTAAGTCTATTAAAATTAAAATAAGCAAGGTCACAAGTGAGGTCACAATTATTGCACCAAAAATAAAAATAAATTTAAGTACAATTTTAAACACATCTAATATACACTCGAATTTGCGGACAACAAATACCATTTAAAACAAACTTATTTGTCATGATCTCCTAGATATATAGCTAGACTACCTATGTAATACAGTACAGTACGAGTATGATTGGACGGTAAGGTTGAGGGTATAATGTACAGTACCTACTTTTAAAGTTAAATTAAACCGATGCCAATAAAGGCGGTATCAAAAAAAGACACATCAGGAGTACCTTAATATTCCTGTTGTTTTATTTTTGTCAAAATAAAAATAAACATTCAGCATTTAGGTATACGTGATTAGAAAAAATCTTAAAATTTTACCCATCTGTAATGAAGTCATTCAGATGAGAAAAAACGTTTGGCTTAAATTTTAAAAAATCAATGTTTCTGATTGATAGTGTGTGATAGTGACTGATACTTCACATAAGAACTGGACACCCATTTTTATTTAAAGTTTGTTGTCACCCCTGTTTGAAATGTATTAAACAAAGATAAGCAAAAATGACGTAACTACAGATGGATAAAATTTTGTCTATACAAGTAGGTACAGGTACAGGGTACATGTTTACAGTTAAATGGACCCACCCATTCACTTTTTAATTTTGCCCTGTATCTTAAAAACGAAGGAGGCTATGAAAATTTTGTTTGCGCTAACTTTGGTTTTACAAAAAAATAGCACGGTGTCGCGAAAACCGCATCTCTATTTCAACTCATAAGCAAGACACCCCGTAAAACATACGAAAATGGGTGTTTCAGAAAGTCTGGGATTGCTTCAACTTTCTTTTTCAAATACCTACCCCATTTGTTTATTAGATTTTTGGATTCTCCTTACAATTCTGTACGTTTTATATATAACACACCCTATGCCTAAAGCCTAAATAGATATATGTAAAAAAGTGGAAAAAATTTAAACCTTAATAAATAAATAAAAAAATGTATAAAAAAAGTATAGAATTCTTAGGAGAATCCAAACATTTAATAAAAAATGGAGTACGTATTTGAAATAAAAAGGAATCATGCTCAGACCTCCTGAAATACCCTGTACAAATAAAAACAAGAAGTTAATGGGGGAGCAATTAAACTGTGAACACCCTGTATATGTATATTAGGCTTTAATACAATGAATTATAGGGAATGTTACAAAGTTGTCATCTACTTCATTAAATGGTAAAATTAACAATTTTGAATTAATATCTGACGCAGAAACAAACATTAATAAAGGGGATTCCTGTTTTTTAATTACCCAAATATTTAATAAAGAAGAATGACATGGCTTATTAAACAAATCACCAACTTTTTTATAAGGTTGTCCTACAATACTGAGCTTATTACTATTATCATAACATATGTTTTTTACCTCAAAAATGCTTCCATCCTTAAGCATAACGAACCTATTACCAAATGTATTACATGAAATGGTGAAAGAGTCACAAACCATTTTTTTATATTGTGGACCTTTGCAACCGGGTGCTAAAGGTCCTTCTGAGTGAACCTGAACACAATTTAAACTACTGGGCTTTACACATTTTTTGGTGTTTATTGTAAGACTATTTAATAAATTATTCTCTTCAGAAACCCTACGAATAACTTGTTGTAAAGGTTGATGAGCTTTTCTGACATATCTTAGTAGTTTTTGCATATAATTTTCATAGGGGAATGCACTAAAACTGTCCAGCGGACCAAATTTTTTACAACAATCTACCAAGTGAGACAAAGAATGAACGTTTAAAGAAAAAAAACCAATATCATAAATAGATTTTGATTTATCAATAAAACAAGTAATTAGTTCTTCAGCATATTTAAGCCAGGATACATCAAAAGCATGCTCACTAAGTAAAATTGAAATTGCAACCGAGAGTACTACAAAATTATTATAATTTTTTTTTTGCAAAACATTTTTTAAAACAACTGGTCCTGTATAAATTAAAAAGGTTCTTAACTCACTTGCCTTGTATCTTCTACTTTCAGTTATAGGTCTGGTTTTTCTACCAAATTCAATAGGTATAAAACGACGCATTTTTTTAAGTCTTTCATTTATTCTAATGACACTAGAAGCACGTAACTTATAGGGTGGTTTTCCGAACACAAAGCCATACTTTTTATGAGTTAAGAGCCTCTTTACTACACCTAAACATACTAGATGCATGTAATCGAGTGGCACATTTACAATTAAATTAAAATTTGGAATATTTTCAACTAATGATGTTCCGATATGATGCTCTTTATTTATTTTTTGCCGAAATGACCCATCTGTCCTTTTCGGACAATCGACCTGGGGAAAACAAACATATCTTTCGGCTTCTCCTTCAATTAGGCAATGGGTACATGAAAAATATCCTGTGGGGCCTTTTATTTGCAATAAGAATGATTTTGCAGGCATGTCACAGATAATCATTGATATCGTGAAATCTATTTCAATGTTTTGTATTGTAATTTTGCCATTAAGTCGCTGACACTCTTTGACAAAATCAGACATAAGTATATCTGGATGTTTAGGTTTAGCTTTTCCATAATACAAAGCGATAAGAAACACAATATTTTTTAATATTTTCAATGACTTAATGGAACCTAAAACTGGCCAAAAAGAACTGTCTGTACTTTTCGTTAAAGGCAAACCATCAACATTTATACCAAGTTCAATTGCATCCCCCTCCGCAATTTCAACATTATAAGCTCGAAATAAATAGTTTATTGATTTTTCGATACCAAAATAACAATAATTTTGGGATAAATTTATATTGAATAGCTTTTTAGAAGTCTCTAATAAAGTTCTAGCATCTGACGGAAACCTAGCCTGGGGAAAATTTTTGCAGAGCACGCCTTTTAGCAAACCATTTAGAACACAATGTGGAATTTTATTGCAAACAGCCCATTTTCTCAAATCAAAATGAGCTTGCTTGTAACTCAGCTCCGGGTGGCCAGGAGCTTTATTAATAACCTCATTTATATCCAGTGCAAGATCGGTATTTAATGTGGTTAACTGGGACTGCATTGGACGTTTAGGTTCAGGTTCACTTCTTGCACAATAAATAGTTGGACTTACTTCGAACAGACTTAAATCCTCGCCTAAATTAATATTATTACTACTCGATGGTTGAGAAGATGACAGATATGGAGAATTAGAAGCTGATTCTTCAAAACTGCTATTAAAAGTAAGCAAAAGTTCTGCTTCACGAGTTTTTTTAGCAACCATGCGTCTCAGCGAGCGTTTACTTTTTGGGTGGTTTTTGGTAAACATTTTCGATAGTTAAGCCGGTAAGCCTTCACCCTTAACCTAACTAAATAATAATATTGTTGTGAACATACATTTAATATGGTTATATGTATATGTATATTCGACAAATTGTATAAAATATTATTTTTACCCTTATTCTACGGCTATGCCTAAAGAATTTAAGGTACGAAAAATACCATCAACATTATTATTCTTCTCAGAAAGATGGGTGATGCAAATAAACAGAACCATTACCTTAAGATGAAATTTGGAAGAAATAGTCATAAATAGTTGCATCATTTTAGTTTTCCTTTGTAATTCGTTTACTTTCAGACGCGATGTCTGGTTTCTATTTACTTAAGAAATGGTCATGTTTGTCCCTTTGCAAACCTACCTGAAAAATATTATTAAGAAATGAGTAGGTACGCCTGTGGATTTTCGGAGAGGGCATTCTCATAAAAGCACGGTCACAGAAGGGACCAGGGACATTCTTAAAATTTTCATAGACGTAATAGCCTGCTAAATTTATATTTTGTATTAAAAAGTTTAAAATAAAAAGTAATAACAACTTAGTAAGTAATTTAATTATAAAAAAAAAATAAAGAATAACATTCCCAACAAGATTGGTGGATAATGAGTCAAATAGAGGAACTACAACAATTTGGTGGCAGCGACTACAAGATTGGTGACGGTGGTCCAATCCAGTAGGATCACGACATTGGGTGAAAGCAGTAAAACTACCAAGGTTTCCCTGAAGAAGGTGCAGACGCAGGCAGAAAACCTACCAGTTTTTGGAAGAAGATAAGAGGCAACTGGCAGTTCTTGAAGGTGCACGCCTCAAGAAGCAGCAAGAAGTCGACACGAGACTGTAGACATTGGGGACACTGAAGGGCGCCAGACGCAGCAGCAAGTCTCCAGGGAAGTTTCTTTGTTTTCACCAGATGATGACGGGGTAAGTCTTTCATTTTGTTTACTGTATTGTGACGCTACTGTTTTTCTTCTGATTTTAGTTAGTTAGATTTAAGTTAAGACAATAATAATTCTGGGCTGCAAATAACAAAAAAAAAAAAAAAAAAAATATTGCTTAAAATTCGTAAATATTTTTTTCTCTTCAAACTAAAAATACATCTATAAAAATAAATAATAATTCTTAAACTAAAGTAATAAATCATTAATAAAAATATAATAATGGCAGGAGGAGTAAAGGAACGCAACTGATGTTCTGAATTTAATAAAATTCATTTTGATGGTCGGGGTGACATAAATTCACTCCAATTTTTCTTAAAATTGTGATTCAATATTAAAATTGTCAAAGTGGATCAAAAGAATTACTAGTAGATTTTAATTTTGGTACTAAATTAAAAGGGAAGGCACAAGAGGTAAACAATATAAACAGTTTCCAAAATTGGGAAGAACTAAAAGATTTCTTATTAGAGCACTTTACTGATAAAACACCACCATCGCATTTTCTAACACAAATAATGAATATATAAAGCAACATTTTAGAAACTGTAAAAGAATATGGCGATAGATTACAAATTCTCTTTAATAAATATAAAGAAACGTGTCACTTAAATTATGCAAATAACGAAGCTACTGTTTTAATAGAAAATTTAAACTCCATTTTAGTCAATACTTTTAGAAAAGGACTCAACGATGAAAAAATTCAAATGCGTATTATTGCCGAAAATACTACATATTTAGATAAAGCTTTATCATTAGCAATTGAAATGGAACTTGAGAATAATGACAGGTTTAAAAACTCGCATTTTAAAAATATAGGTTTTGTAGAGCGTGGAAATAGACAATTAAATAATCATTCTTCTAATAATTCCTGTTTATTTTGTTTTAAAAATAATCATTTAACATCACAGTGTAGACAGCTTAGGCAATACGAACAAAATAGTAACTCATATAATAGAAATGTACCTAGCAATAATCAGACACGCCCACCGCAAAATTTTAATAGCAATAATAATTTTTCAAATAGACAAGACGTAAATACAGTACAATATAATCAAGGACGTTTCACTAATCGAAACTACAACAATCAAAATTTTAATCAGAACAACGACGTGCGTAATTATAATCGTAATTATGGTAACAATTATAACAGTAATAATCCTCGTTCAAATTACAATAATAGATATTCTCAGAATCCAAGAAATTTTAATAACTCACAAGTTCCTCAACGGCAGCAAAATGTTTCGATACCTCAACAATCTCAAAATTTTTCTAATTACAATAATGAATCCAGTACTACCAATTTTAATAGTTCAAATAATAGATCACCACAACAAATTCAAACTATAAATTCTCAGTCGTTAATCAATTCAGCAGATAATTATTTTTCAGAACCGAGCACATCTCAAAATTTTTCGGGAAACGAGAGCGAAGCCTTGGTCGCGAGCAGCCGATTAAGCGCTTCTTAAAATTAGATAATAGCTGTTCTATGAATTACACACTACCTGAGCATAAAAATAAAATTAAAATTGAGCAAAACTTAATTGACATACCGCATAAATCAGTATTATTTTCCGATAGTTACCAACAATTAGAGATAATTAAAATCCCTTCTTTAGATATAAAAGATAAAGAATTACATCTTTTATTAGATACAGGGGCAGATATATCTTTATTGAAAGAATGTATCTTATTACAAAATAATCTAAAATTAAATAAAACTTGCATTATAGAATTAAAAGGTATAAGTAAAGAACCTGTATTTACTAAAGGTGTTTGTAACATCCCAATTAAATTAAACAATAACAAAGCAATAACTCATCCTTTTCACATTGTGCCAGATAGTATACCGATTAAAAGTGATGGACTATTAGGACGCGATTTTTTGCAAAAGTATAAAGCCAAAATAAATTACGAAGACGGAGTCATTAATTTTGAAGACAATTTTTTTAAAATTTTGCCGTCAGAAGCAACTACAATAATTCCCGCGAGATGTCAAATTATTGTACCTGCTCTAGCTAATTTATCTTCGTCCGAAGGCATAGTAGTTTCAAAACAATTATCCGAACATTTATATCTAGGGTCAAGCCTAACAAAAGTCCAGAACTATAAATGTTTAGTTAGCATATTAAATATTTCTAATGAAGCTCAAACTATCCATACACCTAGAGTGAATGTCGAACCTATTTCTTTTAATGAGTACGAATTTATAGAAACATATAATTATGACATTATCGATCGTTTTGCTAAAATAAGAAAAGAAATTAATCTAGACCAATTAAATGAAGAAGAAACTAATTCAGTATTAGATATTTGTAGAGATTTTAACGATATTTTTTACTTAGAAGGCGATAAACTAACAAGCACCAACACAATAAAACACACTATACCGACAGAAAGTAATAAAGGTCCTATTAACGTAAAACCTTATAGATTGCCTTTCAAACATAAAGAAATAATTAATGAACAAACTGAGCAAATGTTAAAAGACGGGGTAATTTCCGCTTCGGACAGTCCTTGGAATAGTCCTTTACTAGTTGTTCCTAAGAAAAGCGACCCATTATCACCTAAATTTAGAGTATGCGTTGATTTTCGAAAGTTAAATGAAATTACCATTGGAAACGCATATCCTCTACCTAATATAGCAGAAATTTTAGACCAGTTAGGAAAATCTCATTATTTTACTACCTTAGATCTTACTAGTGGATTTCATCAGGTAGAAATGGACGAAAAAGATAAAAATAAAACCGCTTTTAGCACTAATACAGGACATTACGTTTATAACAGAATGCCTTTCGGTTTAAAAGGAGCTCCCGCCACATTTCAAAGACTCATGAACACAGTTTTAAGCGGTCTTAATGGTATGAAATGCTTTATTTATTTAGATGATATAGTAATTTATGCAAACAACTTAAATGAACATAACGATAGATTAATTGAAGTTTTTCAAAGATTTAGACAACATAATTTAAAACTTCAACCTTCGAAGTGTCAGTTTTTACGAAAAGAATGTTTATACTTAGGTCACATTATTACAGAAAACGGCATTAAACCAGATCCATCAAAAATTCAATGTGTAACAAACTTTCCGCAACCTAAAAATCCTAAAGATATAAAATCTTTTTTAGGGCTTGTAGGATATTATAGGAAATTTATCAAAAATTTCGCTAAAATTGCTAAACCTTTAACCGAATTATTAAAAAAAGATTCTGTTTTTAATTGGGGTATAAAATGCGAAAATTCTTTCCAAATTCTTAAAGATAGTATAACTTTTCCACCTGTTCTCCAATACCCAGATTTTACCAAAGAATTTATTATAACAACAGATGCGAGTAATTTCGCAGTAGGAGCAATTTTATCGCAGGGTAAGGTTAATCATGATCGTCCAATAGCGTTTGCTAGTAGAACTCTAAATAAAGCAGAACAAAATTATTCAACTTCAGAAAAAGAGCTAACTGCAATCGTCTGGGCAGTAAAACATTTCCGTCCATATATTTTTGGCACAAGATTTAAAATTGTTACAGATCACAAACCCCTACTCTATATATTTAATATCAAAGACCCTGGTTCTCGTTTGACGCGTTTTAGAATAAAACTTGAAGAATATGACTATGAAATAATTTATAAAGCTGGAAAGATTAATACAAATGCTGATGCATTGAGTAGAATAGTTAGCACAACAAATGTCAATTCTATTATTACCAATTATGATAATTTTAAAACACATCTCGAAAGCCATATAATTATTAATTCCAAAGTCAAAGAAAAAAACACAAATCTGTTTGAAACACCACAACTTATACCTATAGTTTTATTTTTGCCAAAATTATTCAACAAAAACGACTTTAAAATTCTAGAAAAAAATAAACAAATTAATACATTTTTAGAACATTACGATAACACAAATCCTTTAGACATGCCGTCAGTTTTTCAGTATCAACAAAATAATTGTAATATATTTCTATTAACAGACAACGAAAATACATTCAGTGATATTAATTATGAAAATATTTGGTCTTGCTTACTAACTTTACGAAATATTATATCCAACGAAAAAACCGAACTATCATTTATAAAATATCATTACAACTCATTAGTCAAATGGGAAATCGTTCTTCCTATGATAAGATATATTTTTAAAGACCTCTATTCAGAAATTACAATATTTAACAACAGTCTTATCAACCCCTCAGATGCTGAAAAAGTTGTATTATTAAATGAAAATCACAATTGTCCATTAGGAGGTCATCAAGGGTCATCCCGCACATATAAAAAATTATCTCAATTATATACATGGAAAGGTATGAAAAAAGACATAAAAGAGTTTATAAAAAAATGTGAACTTTGTCAAAAAAATAAACAGTCTCGAAAAACAAAAATGCCTATGGTAATTACGACCACGGCATCAAAACCGTTCGAAAAATGTTTTTTAGATATAGTTGGACCACTACCAGAAACCGAAAATGGTCACAAATACATATTAACCTTTCAGGATGATTTAACAAAATATATAATTAATATACCTATGAGAAATCAAGAAGCTGTAACTGTAGCGCATCATTTTGTAACGAATATTATATGCATTTACGGAATACCTGACATGCTAGTCACAGATCAGGGGTCAAATTTTTTAAGTGATATTTTTAAAAGTACTTGCAAGTTTTTAAAGATAAAAAAGATCCAAACAACAAGTTATCACCCAGAGTCAAACGGAGCACTAGAACGCTCTCATAAAGTTCTAGAAGAATATTTAAGACACTTCATTAAGACATCTCAAACAGACTGGGATAATTGGATTCCCTATGCAACATTTACATATAATACTACACCTCACACTGCTACACAATTTTCTCCATTTGAACTTTTATTCGGACATATTCCTACATTACCAACATCAGTTAAACAACCACCTAAAGTCAATTATACTTATGATGATTTCATAAACAATCTTAAACAAAAAATGCAACATTCTAATCAATTAGCTAAAGAAAACTTATTAAAATGTAAAAACATATCAAAAAATAATTACGATAAAAACAGTTATACCAGAATATTCGAAATTGGTGACAAAGTGTTACTTTACGACGAATCAGTTCGACGTGGCAGAAGTAAAAAACTTTCCGCCTTATGGATTGGTCCATATACCATTAAAAAAAATATCAGATGTAAATTATACAATTCAAAAAGGAAAAAATAAACAAACTATTCATGCAAATAGATTAAAATATTTTTATTATTAAAACTAAACATAATCAGTATATATAGATTATAAAAACTAGAATTAATAAATTTTAATTAGCTTATTATTAGTATATATATTTTGTTTTAGGGTTAATTTATTTATAATAATTACCAGTATCCTAGCAGTAGTCCACTCAGAATACAATATAACCACTTATGACTTGAACCCTGGAATACACTTTGAGCACCTGGGCGAACTAAGGTTTTTTAATAACAAATGGAAACTAGTAACTTTTGTAGAATTAGAAAATATTAGTAATAAGTTATTATCATTAAAGAATTACCGTAAGTATACTACAGATTTATGCAATAATGAGAATGCTCAATATCACTATTATATTTGTCAGTTATTTTTGAAAAGTTCTAAATACACTTTCGAAAAAATTGAAAAAGAACTAGAAGTCTTACACGAATTGATCGGTCATAGTCATTTATCAGAAAGTAGACAAAAACGAGGTTGGTTCAATATTGTAGGAAAAGCAACTAAAGTTTTATTCGGCGTTTTAGATGAAGAAGATGCTAAATACTATAATGATAAAATTTCACAAATGAATAAAGACGAAACTTCAGTCCTTCAACTTTTAAAAGAACAAACAAAAATTGTTCAATCAACAATAATTAATTTCAATAATACTATTGGAACTTTAGATTTTAACGAAAATTTATTAAAAAATAATATAAAAAAGATTAGCGATGAATTAAGCAAAGTCAAAGAAAATTTTCATTTTCTATATATAAAAACCGGCATAGAAGAACACGTCACTATTTTAAATATGATGCTAAATCAATTACAATTAGAAATCATGACGATTACGAATGCTATTTTAGTAGCAAGAAAGGGAGTTTTACACCCCTCAATATTAACGCCATTAAGGTTAATTAACGAATTAAAAGATGTGTCCGAATCTCTACCTCATGGATTAGAATTTCCTGTACCATTAGATCCGCTCAATGCAAATCTCATTCTAAATGTTATCGAGTTGCAAGTTTATTTCGAAAACAAACGATTAATATATATTATAAACATCCCTTTAATTGAAACAAATTTATTCTATATTTATAAAATATCACCCTTTCCAAAATTAATGTCAAATAACCAGTTTATATTAATTCAACCCTCATCTAAATATATAGCAATTGACGAAAGCAAACAGCAGTTTATTACACTGTCGGAAATAGAATTTAATACTTGTTTAAAAATTATAGAAAATAAATTTATTTGCAAGCAACAAAAACCAGTTTCTCTTGCTCATTTGGCAGATAATTGCGAAGTTAAATTATTGCAATTCACAAATATCATACCTGATATCTGTGACAAACGTATAATTCAGTCAGATAGAGCAATTTTTATTCAACTACAAACCAGTAACACTTGGTTATTTGCAGTTCCTCATCCAGAAACTCTTACGATATCATGTAATAATAAAAAAAATCACGTAGATGTAATACTAAAAAATTGCGGTAGTGTCACTATAGGTAAACAATGTAAAGCTTATAGCGCATCATCAATGCTAATCCCTCATGGAAATACAGTCCAGTCCAATATTTCAAGTGATTTTATTCCACCATTCGACATTAGTGATAATTGTTGCGAAAGGATAAAGGAAGAAAAAATAAACATTAGTGAAATATTTCTCAACGAACATTATAGGAAATTAACAAAGCACATCCCCGAACTTAATGTAGCGAGCCATAAGCTAGAAGATATTGAAAAGTTAGGTGATGAAATTCTAAAAAGGAAACTTGTAAACAATTATACATTTCCAGCATCTGTAATTGCCTATATCTTAGCTCTTCTTGCTATTATTTTTATTATTTATAAATTGTATACAAAATGTACTAACAAGACAGCCTGTTGCGGAATTATTCCAAACTTATGCATTAGAGTTAATCAGTCTGTGGAACCATCTTCTAGAAATAGTGATAGATATGTTGCTCATTATAATCGTAATATTAGCCAAAACTCTGAAAATGTAGGTAACTATGAAAACTCCGAAGAAGAGAATGTTAATTTACAGGCGCCCTCGCGCAGACCCATTGGGTATGTACCATCAAGGCGACCATTAAAAGAAAAATAATTTCCGCATTTGATACATTTTTAAATCTGCAATAGTTATAAAAAAAAATGTTAGTTAAGTTAGAATGTAAGTTAGTTATAATTAGTAGTTAAGACTTGTATAATACTTTTATATATGTACTTTTATTCATTTCCATCTGAGTTATACTAATTAATTATATAAACATTTGTTTTGAGATTTCATATCACTTTCACCTCATGAAATCTCTCATTAAGGGGGGAGGTGTTGTGAACATACATTTAATATGGTTATATGTATATGTATATTCGACAAATTGTATAAAATATTATTTTTACCCTTATTCTACGGCTATGCCTAAAGAATTTAAGGTACGAAAAATACCATCAACATTATTATTCTTCTCAGAAAGATGGGTGATGCAAATAAACAGAACCATTACCTTAAGATGAAATTTGGAAGAAATAGTCATAAAAGTTTGCACTCATTTTTTTAGTTTTTCCTTTGTAATTCGTTTTACTTTCAGACTTTGCGATGTCTGGTTTCTATTTACTTAAGAAATGGTCATGTTTGTCCCTTTGCAAACCTACCTGAAAATATTATTAAGAAATATAAAGTAGGTACCGCCCGTGGATTTTCGGAGAGGGCATTCTTCATAAAAAGCACAGTCACTAGAGGGACCTGGGACATTCATAAAAATTTTCATAGACGTAATACTGCTAAATTTATATTTTGTATTAAAAGTTTAAAAATAAAAAAGTAATAACAACTTAGTAAGAATTTAATTATAAAAAAAATAAAGAATAACATTCCCAACAAGTGGTGATACGAGTCAAATAGAGAACTACAACATTTGGTGGCAGCGACTACAAGATTGGTGACGACGGTGGTCCAATCCAGGATCACGACAATATGAAGCTAACTTTAACACATTTTTTTTACTTACAAATCTCATTGATGAATACTTACGAAAATTACAAGTACAACAAGGCTTAATAGCCTAACGCTACGGATCAAACACTACTTTAAACCCAAAAATATCTTTGTTTTAAACCTGTTTCCGAAATTCAAAACATGCAAGCAAAGACTAATGTAACAGTACAAACAACACCCCTGTTTATAATTTAACTTTTAAATCACACAGAACACTATTATCGATATAACGTAAATTTATAAGCAACAATAAGCAACAAAATTGAACAAAATGCAATTAAAGTTCAGCCGGTTCGACGATTTTTTCTTTGGCGGCGACCGGCGGCGGCGTGTCGGTGGACAGCGTTGCCAAATTATTTTATCTATCGTACTAAATAAGATCATTACCTATGAAAAGTACTTTTATTTCATAAAACGTTCTAGATAATATTTAAAAAAAAATAAAACCCATGTTCCATTAACAAAAATATACAAAAAAATTAACGTAAACATATCCAAAACGTAGTAAATCTAGAATAATTATACTAAAATGGCAACACTGTTTCGCATTAATCGTATGTTGCAGCTTCGAAGAGTCGCGGCCAGAAGGCGCTGAAGCTAAAGTCGCGCGATTTGAAACCATGGTTGAATTTCACAATATCGCCCATTTTCGGATAAAATAGCCAAAATATGCAGCAGAAATTTTGAGGAGGGAAAAAAGGACTGAGCCTATTTGTATATATCCAGCAAAGTATATAGCTAAATATAATAGCATATATAATATATAAATATTCTTAGCATATGATAAGAATATATGCACAAGAATATACTTTAAAGAATATAGGTGGCACATGTCCATTTATTCCTGGAACATTCTCAGAATATAAGTATAAGGATATAAGTTGACGCACATACTAGGTATATGCTATAGATATGAATATGCTCTTCATTGCTATGTGGGTAATATATAATATAATTATACTTCAGTTGGACACGTCCTCCTAGATCACCATGTAGATGTTTAAAGAATTTTAAGGCGATCTGCATGTAAATTTTGCTGCATTTTAAGAAAATGCAAAACAAAATATATATGTTAATTATAATAAGAACTTGATAGTATGTAACATTTATAGCATTTTCCCGTTATGCTATTTTTCTTTTAAATTATAATAATTATATGAACATAATACGTATAGTAGCTTATTCTTTATATAAATCACACCTCTAATAAACTACTATACCCAAAACTCATAAAGAGTTTATATATTTTAATTTCCTATCTAACGACGTGAACAATTAACATTAAAGTATCCACGACTTAACAATCTACTTCTTATTTTTGTTATTAATAATGTCGTTTATGTAAAAATTAGTAAACGACTGCTCTTTGGCACCCTTATTATTGGTTATTTGTTATAAAATTTACAAAACGTTAGTGATTTTTCGGACCAGCCTGCTGCGTTGCGAATGGTTTCAATGGTTACCCCCATTCGCACCGCCGCAGAAGTCGCGGCATGTCGTGTACTGTGACCTTTAAATTTGTCTACATTTACACCACCTCTTTTTAAACCCTCTTTCATCCAGTTACTTAAGGTTTGGGTGGAGACCCGTCTGTATGGTTTTTTTTGTTGTTGTTATAAATAAGTATTGTTCGTTACCCCTAAAGGGTTTTAGTAACGTTCTATGTAATGCAAAATCGTGGTGGCAGCACAAAGATGGGGTTTTTCGGCAAAAGAAAAGTTCAAAGCTTCGGCTGTGCAGATTTTAGGGGTAGATGTGTTTTAAAATATCGTTAAATTTTAATGTGCAGTCCTTCTTCTCTATGATGTGTATTTTCCAACCGTATACTTGATAGAGTTTGAACCCTTTGTGCTGTACATAAGGCCAGTAATAAGATTAATTTTATTGATACGCATTTTTTAAGTCAAGGTCATGTAATGGATACAGTTTTCCAAGTATTACCAACACCGGGTCACTTGGATCCCAAATTTCTACATATTTTGGGAATGATGATGTACATTTAAATATACCTTTCATAAGCCTTTCCACTGATTCAGTTTTCTCCGCATCCGTTAAAGATGTTAAGAGCTGATCGGGGAGCGTTGAGGTGTTATATTTTGAATTATTTTTGATATTCTTGACTTAAAAATTTTAAAATATCCGGGTATACTGTGTTGGAAAATCATGTTTAACTTCGACATTAAAAGACCCACCATTTTTTATATGTTATATTATACTGTTTGATTGTGCCCTAGAGAAATCCTGGCAATCAATGGTTATTTGTTTAGGTTGCAGTTGGGCTCCTAGGTTTCTTGCTGGAAAACCATTTCCAAATTTTAGTAGTGTTAAGATTAAGGTGCAAAAAAAATTAAGGTTTTACACCTCCTATTCTATCAGTATATATGATATTCTTGGTCTCAAAACCTCTAGCGTTTAAATAATTACAATGGGTACCCTAGCCCGATTTTTAGGTGCATCAGTACTAGAAAGTTATTGAAGTACATTTTATGATCTAGTAGTACATAACCTTGATGGTTTGCGTGGAAGAGCATAAATGTGAACGTCGCTACATCGTTATTATTTTAATTTGTATACAATTGTTTTATATACCTAATAAAAAGACATTTTGAATTGAATTGAATTTAGGAAGCATGAAGTTTTTGATCTGCACATTCTATGTTTCTGAGCCACCAGTCATAAACTTCAAGAAAAAACTTGTTGGAACAATGAACGCGTTATAATTCTTTCATTATTTTCCTTAAGGGCTTTGTAGAATGAACTCATTCAAATCTCTTAATATGTATAAAAGCCAGCTGTTGAAATTTCTTGACTAGGTATGAAAAGACCTTTCTTTTTTATTTATATTTCCAGTACATTTCAGTACACACTAAATTTTGTCTAATAAAAGAACATCATCAAGATTCGTAGTCATTCACAAAGAATGTTTTCCTTAAACAGTTAATTACAGGTGTTCAGGGGTTGAGAAAACATATGTTACAAATTCAAAGAAAAATAGCTTAAAATTTATATCTTTTCCCGTGAATCTGAACCTTACATATATTATATATTTTAAAGGTTTAATTTAAATTCCAGTTTGCTGCAATGAGAGTTTCTCAATAACTATATTGTTTCAGTTAGTCTAAAATTTTAGGTTTAGATCTACTATTTTAGGTTTAAGATCTACTAGGACCTAAAATATATTTTAATCCGCAACCTTATTTATTATAACCTTTTACATAACATGAAACAAGTTTGTTATGTGTTATTTCCAACCATTGGCTGTAAATAATCAATTATACCAGCATATTTGTTTTGAGTTCTAACCTGAATTATTGTCTCCTCAATCCATCCTGCCTTCTTTCAATTCTTGCTCCCCCCCACTCGTTCCTTTTTAAAATGGTTCTTCTAGGAATTTGCCTCCTCTTATCTTTCATTATTCTGTCTGGTGGACCTTCACCTGGATCTCAAAGCACTAATTTTTAAATGTTTTGGTTTCTGAGGGAAATAGAGCCTACTGAGTATTTTTTTTTTCTGAGTATTATGGATTCTTGACTTTGCATTTTACTACTAAAACTTTACTAAAAAGCAGCATATTATCGGCTTATTTGACCTATCGCATCGCTTACGCTTTTAATTTTACTATTAAAGTGTGGGAATTTAATAAAAAACCTTACGATGCGATGGTTCATTTACGGTAGGATGCTCCTAACATAACGGTTTCCCTAAATTTATTTCAGATTTTAAGGGTAACTACCTTGGATTATTTTCTTTGGAAAGTTCCACTAAACTTGTAATTGTTTGGTCTAGTGGTGACATTTGTTTTTCCTAAAACCGTGCTGTAGGTCTATAAAAAAATATATCTTACTTTCTGTCGAAGAAAACATGATTTGGACCTCGGAGTTTAACCTCTGTCCTTATAATATACTGCAATTGCTGGGGATGGGAAAAATTGGCTTTTAGACTGCCTTTTTGTTTGCTATATGGCAAACCAAAAGGCCTCTTAAATTGCAAACATGTGTAAGACAAATCCTAATATAACACTATCTGGATCTGTTCCTTGAATCAAAGACAAAAAACATTTTTGGAGAGCGTTTTAAAATATTTTTAATAAAATATTTTATAACTCAAGCTAAACCTTGTATATAAGAATATATAAACAAGGGCCTAAGGTACATTTGAGCAACTTCTGCAGTTCCCGTCCCCATAGCAATATTCTAGATTTAAGAACCAATAGCGGTATTTACTTTTGCACTTAGTAAAACACAATAGTTTTTAGCTTTTATTTTAAACAGATTCAGATTCGTTTTGACCTGTCTAAAAAATATATAGTTCATTATTTCCAATTCAAAACCGAACAATAAAATATTTATCAAAATGAGCAAAAAGCACACTAGAAAAAAGGTAAACAAATAACAATGTTGCGTCACCCTGATGCTGTAGAAAAACCATATAGAGTTAAAATTAAAAGAAAAAAACACTCCGTTCGGCGTTCTGTGCCCAGGTATAACATATATAAGTTACCTGTTTTAGCACAACCTTTTATTTAATAAAACTGCAAAGCATATTTTTCAAAAAACAGCCACAAAATATCGGATCCAAGATTCAGATCATTTTAATAGTTCTCAGAGACATACTAGCGTGCATAAGTCAAGAACTATGCTGGGTTACAATGTTTATATGAGCATATGTTTATATCCACAAGGTGGATTACCCAGCTAGTAAATATTAGGTAAAACTTACTAATATTTGTCTCACCATTTTCAAATCCAGCCGGAACATACAGATCATGTTAATAGTTTTCGGAGACATACTTAGCGTGCATAAGTCAAGGACTATGCTGGGTTACAAATGAGTTTTTCTTTGCCTATTGATATTTATACGTGTATATAATTATATGTGGATTAATCCAAGCTAGTAAATATTAGACAGAATCATAATATTTGTCTCACTCATTATTGATAACCATTTAAATCCATCTTTTAATTCATATTTCCGAACACATTTTGTTTTCTTTTGGGTTGCCAAGGTGACTTTGGGCTTTGGCCTGTTTACGTTAATTTTCTAGACACTTGAATATTTAGCAAGTGCAACTAAGATTTCGAACTTGAATATTTAGCAGAAGTAATGTTGTAGGACATTGACGCCCAATGGGTGTTGTCGGTACTTGGATATTTAGCAGAAGTACTTTTATTAGCACCCTGTAGGTGTTACTGGCACTTGAATATTTAGCAAGTGCAGCTAAGATTTTGAACTTGAATATTTAGCAAAGTAATCTTGTAGGACATTGACGCCCAATGGGTGTTGCCGGTACTTGGATATTTAGCAAAGTACTTCTATTTAGCACCCTGGTGGTAGTGTGTTACTGGCATGATTATTTAGCAAGAGCCCACATTTTTTATGCCCAAAATAACGTTTAGGTTCCGTTAAATTTTAATATAGGTTTACTTTATCGAGCCGATAAGAAAAATTGCTTATATTCGAGTCGATAAAAAGTTGTTTATTTACCGAATTCGATAGTGCTATGGTCAGGAATGTAGCGCGCACAAAGAAGTTTCAAAATACTCGACTCGGGCCTTTGACTTGCGACTGTTTTCCGACAGCCGACGGGAAGTGCAAGTAAATCACCGAATCTATGCAAGTCTTCATATACAGTTTGACAAATATAGGAAGAGGCAGGCAATTTACGGCCGCGTCGCCGAAGAAAATAATATAATTTTAGGCAATGCGGGGTCTAGACTAACAGCCTACACCCCCTAGACCATCTCATAGCTATTTCTACTACCCTTGTTTACTTGTATGAACTAAAAAAAACTAATTAGGGGAATTAAAGGTTATTTACTCTACTCTGATTCATATGTATAGAGTTTCTTTTCAAGTTTTTCGTTTTCCATAGCCTTTCTTGACCCACTTCCTCTGACAACCTATCTCAACGCTTTTCTGTACCCATTTCCAAGTGAATTTTGTATAAAATATTGTCTGCTAAATTTACACTGCTGCTCATTACCCAGCGCAAAAGTATAATGAGACATAAAAGTGGTGTGATATAAGAGGCGGTGAATCATTTTCTTTAAACATGCGCTCAAAACAGTGACAGAAGTATTACTACATGGTGATCTAGGAGGACGTGTCCAACTGAAGTATAATTGTATATTTTCTTACTATCAGTTACTATTAAGTTTTTGTGTATTAAATAATTAGGGATTTTATATATTAGTGTATATAGATGCCCTGTAAACAAATATTCAAGCAAAAATACAGTGTTTCTTATTCTAACAAATAAATAAACCTGTAAAACTGTATAAATAAAAACGATCTTCCATTATGAAATAAAAAGATTGATTATACCAAAAGATAGTTTGATAAAACTCGATAGATTTTAATCGATTTTTTGGGTAAAAGATCGATCTTCGACTGAAATCGATTCGAATCACAACATCCATAACATAAACCTAATAAAAACAACAAGTGAACTAAAAAAGTGTAAACGTGCTTCATCAAACTATTTTAATAATTAAAACACTGAGATAACGTAAAGATAAGTGATGCAAATAATTATTTTAAGGATAGAATCGGTAAAATAGTTCTTGTTATGTTTGTGTTTTCAGTATCTATTTTAAGGTGAGTGAATTTAAAACCATGAGACCTCGAAAAAAAAAATAGGTTATACCCTTGATTATGTATGTTATACATTTAGAACATTACATTATTTAGAAATATTTTAAAATTCAACCAAAAAAAAAGGAGCCAAAATCTTATTAAGTCAATGTTACGCAAATATGACTTCAATATTGTACATTAAACTGGATTCAGACCAAAGTGATTTTTTATTATCCCTCTGTACATCATCAAAGTAGTAGTATCTCTGGTGAGTATCATTGAAGATTTCTGTTCTGATAAGTGTAGTTCCAGTGCTGAAATTTCTTACAATATAGTAATTTATATAGGTATTTATGTAGGCTCCCTTCTATAATCATTTTATTGTGTATTTTTAAGAGAAAGGTATGTTTTAAATTATTAGGTTGAGAATTTTCAGGAGTAGCACAAAGTACAAGGAAAATGCTTTATAAGGTTCTGGGCAATGAAATTGCACAAAAATATTCTTTGGATGGGGCCAAACAGAAGAGAAGTTTGAAATCATTGTTATTGGCCAAAAGCAATTTTAGGTATTTGAACTTAAAGATATTTGGTGTTGCAAAGACTGTAATAACATATATTTTAGACTCCATGAAAGGTCAATTTCAAGAGTCAAAGAAACCGAAATTATCAATATAATTAAAGGAAATATGGCTTGTAAAAACAAAGAAAGATTAAAAATACCAAGGTAAGTTGTGCAAATTTATTTGAACGTGTATAATTCTGCTGATATTATTTCAGAAGGGTGAATAAGAGAATATAGAAACATAGACATAGAGATAATATCAATGTATATCGTTATGTATTAAAAATATTTTAATTAATAAACATATATTACTCAAGTTCGTCTTTATCCTTACACCTTATTTTAACCGTTCTATTTATTAGTTAATTTCTTTGATTATTACACACCAAATTATTTAATTTCAACAAATTGTTTGTAGTGCGTTCCAGATATGAATGTACTGTATAGGTATCCTATAGAGAGAGATAAAAATTGCTAAATATGAAAAATTTGTATCTATATCTATAGTTTATAGGATATTGATACAGGGCATCCCTTATACAGGACACCCAGTAGATACAGAGTTGAGGGGTTGGAATCTTTGGTGTGTTACAACAGCAAATTAAAACACTAATTCACTGTAATATACCAAAATGCTTTACTTTTGAACTGGACGCTTGTTTGGTTAATCATCTTAGCGTCATCAGCAGATGATTAAAACTTAAATTTTGACCATCATGCTTGATGCTGCCAACATGGTTAGCAAGGCAGCGCGAGTCAATGCAAAAAGTAAAGTGTTACAATTGTATTATCAGTAAATTAGTAGTTTTATTCTTATCTAATGTAATAATAAAAAATATGAAAAACATAGAAAGCATAAATATAGAATATTAAAAACCTTAGATATCATATAATTGGAATATTATTTTTAAATACATTTCTTTTACGAACATATAATTCCACGTTCATAGAATATATCTTGGAATGTGAAACGCACTTCTATATCACTTGAATAGGGTGGAACGTAATCTCTGCTATTCATGTGCCATATATGTTCCCAATGAAAAAAAGGAATGTGAATAGAACATTGTTGTTCTCCAAAGTCACTTGCTTCGCATATGAAAAGAACGTAAATGTGCTATCTGGGACTTTATTGATAAGTTAAACGATAACCGAGATTAGGTACTTTACTGATTTGATTTAAGTACTTTATTGATTTCAGTGATCAGACATAAAATAATATAATAGTACCGACTATAAAGTATAATCTGAACTTATTAATGATGATATAAGGATTTTATTTTAATCTAATTCATTATAATATCCGCAATAATTTAGTCGAATATAATTAACATGCAGCGCAGAGCTTGTTTTATTGTTGGCGGTATAACAGGCGTTGTAATTCTTACAGCTATCATTGTAACGGTACTTGTACTTGTCGAAAAAATTGAAGAGAACACAAACAGCAATGGTAAGTTATAACAATTTTTATTGTCAAGATTTATTTTGAGTTGGCTATCGGCCTTAAGATAATTAGATATAAAAATTCTATGTGTAACTATAGTAAAAATGTAAAGTATAACTATGTTTCGTAATAATTAACATTAACGTGATAAACTATTTAAATATTATAGCTGGGGAGCACAATGTATAAAAATAGCTTCCCGTGGGAAACTTCATGAAGGGAAGGTGCCAGTGGAGTTGTTTTATCAGAAAAATGATGTATTCCATTAATTTTTATGGTGACACCGTCACAGATGTTGCGTTTGTTTGGAGTGCGTTAAACAAAATGGCCGCCATAGCAATATAGACAATGTGCGCTATCGTCGCCGCTATTTAACCGATTTCATTTTTTTTAGCTTGTTAGAAAGGTAATGTAAAGAGGAAAACAATTAATTCTTGAAAGTATTGCGAAAAAATAATATTGACATTGAAAATGTTTCTGTTATCCTATATAAGGGAGCCCAAATCGAATTAAAATGCTACGTTTGCCACACCATGACGTCATATATACAAGGGTATAGGAAATCTCGGCGCAGCGGCGGCAGTCGGCCAGCGCGCGCAAAAATCATTACATCGCTAATTGTTTATTGATATATCTTTATTAGTTTAAAAGCAAAAAAATATGGGCTTCTTTGCTTTGATACCTTGTCAAGACATAAGCGAAACTTTTAAATTGTTTCTTTTTTCATTTAGGCCTTCGTTTTTTCGTTTACATGAAAGTTATATTAAAAAATCTATTTTTTAAACCAAATTTTCGTGCATGATTGAAATGATTATTCATGTTTAAAGTTTTTTTTTTTTGGTCATAAGCGCTAATGGAAATGTTTTTTTTGTAAATAATTATAAAAAATTACTCCCTACGAAGACTTATTGTGTACTGAATCAAAAAATAAGTATTTGTTTTCTCTATACGGTGAGTATTAATATATCGATTTTTTGATGATGGTGCCCTTTTACCCGGTCTAGTTTTGTACTACTTTCGGAATAAGGGTCCCCATATCATATACTGTACTTCCATCCCTGAAAAATTCAGCTTGTGACACCGAAGTGAGGTAACGTCAAAATAAGCTTTAAATCTACCTACATCATACTTAGGTGTAGGTACTCTAGGTATATTCTACCTAGACGAGTAGCTGAACTAGCTGACAGTAGTAATTAATTTGTTATCCGATAAGTAGTTGTCATTATATAAGTTTAATCATCTTATACCTCCCTATAACGGTAGGTTTTGGATTTTTTCCTGATTGGTTTGTTAAACAAAAATATACTGGGCATATAAATGTCTATTTACAGGTTAATTCGTTAAAGAAATATGCTACACACATATTATTTTAATAATAATAGTATAATAGTAATGGCTATATTATGTTATAACACATACATATGTATTGAATGTACTTATTTTAACCAATGCATTGTTTTGTTTTTTTAATCTCACAAATAAGAAATGTTTTATAGTTTTTATTATAAAAAACAGTGATTATACAATTTATTTACATCCCTTACACTGTTTTCTGTAAGGGTTGTAACCAGGTGTTTATATATTTCGTAAGGTTTATATATTTCGTAACCTCTTACGATATAAGAGGGCCACAAAGTGTTTTATTACTTAATGCTTAAAATTTAATAATATATTTGTACATAAAATAAAATAGACTAGAAAGTCAATTAATTAATATTGACGTAATTACTAAATAAGTACAAGATTTTTTTTTCTAATTATTTTTTTAGTGTATTTTCAGTCACCCTAATTATAAAAGAGAGATATCCAACCATTTGCATTATTTTTACTCACAAATAAATGCTCTTTTATGGTTTTATTATAAAACAACGATTAATTTATTATACACCTTTAACCCAAACACTCCAAGGAGGATATTTCATTGACCCCCTTATTTAAAAGTGGACAAGCTTTTATTAGTCAATGTTTTAATTACCCAGCGTCTTTAATAAAAAATCTAATATAATTTTTTCATAGAAATGATCTGACATAAAAGCAAATTTTATCAAAAACTTTTGATTATCTACAAGGGTAAACCATGACAAATGTCTGTATACTAATGTCCTTTTTCAAAGTAATGCCAAAAATATAAATTAAATGCAAAATTTCCCATATAATGCCCCACTAATGCCAAGCTGATTCCAATATAATACCACTAATACTAACGAATAATATGTAACACATTTGTTTCAACTTGAATTAACCTGTAACAATACTGGTAGGTACGTGCACAGATTTTTCCTAGGTAACTTAAAAGTCGTTAAAAGTCTAATTATATTTAAAGAGACATCATTCCAACAAATTACATTATAAGGCCAATAATGTACAAGTAATACCTTTAAAATTTTAGCGTTTTTTAACTCTTGTGTAACAGATTTCTTTAACAGAATTAACCTGTAACAATAGTGGTAGGTACGCGCACAGATTTTTCGCTAGGGTAACTTATTAAGTCGTTAAACAGGCCTATAAAAGCTATAACAACATAGGTAACTAATATTTATAATTTAATTCGAGTTTTAATCTCAAATAATAAATGTTTTTTACTGGTGTATTTCTCAAGTGTTCATTATTAAAAGTAGATATTCTTCAAGTTATGCGGAGTAATAATGTTTCGGTGAGACCATGTATATGTCACCGGATTCTGGTTAGTATAAAGACTTTTTTCTATAGAAAGAGTTTTTTCTATATTTTCCTTTCAAAATAAGACTAATTTCTTCTTATTCTTTTAAATATTACAGTGTTTCTTTTTTCCTAAAATGTTATACTCTAATTTTCTGCTTTTAAAATTAAAAAAAATCACAAATGGAGGAAAATATACGTTATTGAATAAAGTTTATACAAATCACTTTACCATAACAAAACAGTAAAAACATGTCATGGCGGAAGATATTCAGGTGGCATTTCACACATTTATCCATTAAAATCGAGATTAAAATATTAAAGTTGCGTAACATGTTATACACGAGATAGAAAGTTTCATAATCGATCAATACGCAATACGCTACGCAGTCAACTTATTCGTATGCGCGGATGAGCGTCTTCAAGACTCTTCCTTCGGCCAGGGTCACGACGCCGCCGAAGAGGAATCGGCCTACGTTTGGCTAAGCAGGCTGGATACAGGTAGAGTATGATATTGGCGCGAGTCTGAATATTTAAAATTTACAAAGTAAAATATGTTGGAAAATAATTAATCCATACATATATAAAGCTCAAGGGTTTTTGTTGCATCCATCCCGCCGAAACCGCTTTACCAATCTTGATGATTCTTTTTAAATGAAAGGTATATATGTGTAAATTTATGTTGTAAGAGTATTTTATAGTGCTTTAATGGCTATTTCTTTGTGTAAAACGACTAAATACTAAAACATACCTGAAAAACACCTACACACAATACCTCCAGAAATAAATTATTTGTCATTGTCAGTGGTGTGTCAGTTAGATTATATATTACGTTTTTAGATATTTTAGAGTGGGTTCATGCCGCCAGCTTTAGATACATAAATATTAGCACAAAGGTTCTTTTAAACTGACATTTAGTGAATTAGCTTACACAAAGCGATTTTAGGAAATTCATCCTCTTAGAGAGTAAAATTATCTCGGAACAGTTTGTTGTATGAAAATTCCTTACTATTTGGTCTAGAAGAATGAAAATCCTACAAAAGAATTAGAAGAAATTTTTGAAATTCATCAACCAAATGGATAAAGTTAGTATACATTTATATAAAACTTGGTGACCTCTCTGGATTATACACATAAAACTGGCACAAAAGGTAAAGCTGAATTTATAAAATTTATACCCTTAGGAATTAGAAGATAGGGAATGAAAGTTTCTGCTGTATACGAAAAATGCAATACTATAACATTATAAACCAGACAGTATAAAATTTTATTACAAGGGCTTTATTTTAGCATGACATCAGCAATAATTTAATTCCTCAATTATCCTTCAAAGAATAAAAATAACCTATAAAAGAGAGGTATTAGTGCTCTTAATAAATAAAAAAGATGAAAAATAAAAAGAAACATCTATGCTCACTAGCTCTCTATAAAAAGTAAAAAATCATTTAAATCAATGCATGAACGATTCGAGGGTGTAACGCGAACGTAGTCGCGAGAAAAAGCTAGTAATTTATTAAATTATCTTTTATTTAGCTCATTAATTTTCATTGAAAAGGAATTTTTGTAATTCGCCACTATATTGTAGTTAAAACCAAGAAACTCATATCAAATTTAAGTTTTGCGATTTTGACTTATACTTTTACAAAATCTGAACACATTTTAAAGAAAAAAAGTTTTTGATAATATTTTTGTAGATTGACTACAAGTTGTATAACATGAAATTTCTACGGACCAGTCTACCTAGTAGTCTGCAGCATCGCCTTGTGGTGCAAACGTGGGCCTATTAATCTGTGACGTGACGCACAACAGCCAAGAAAAACAGAAGCGTGGCTAGAATTTAGTAATTTAAAAGCCTTTTAGATACAGTAGTAGGTATTAAAAGTTTGTGTTTAAATGGGGTTTGCCTTTAGCAGTTAAAAATTATATCGTAAGTGTAACTTTCGTAAGAATTCTTTATCTGTCATTGATCATGATCTGTCATCATGTTAACCTGATGTTTTTGTATGTTATTTTGTTTTTTTTTTCGAGGTTTTGCTTGTTTTGCAGAATTAGGTGCGATCGCATATTTATTATTGATAATGTTTTTATTTAATGTTAACACTACTACTTTTTCAGTGAATCTTTAAATCAGTTGTTTTTTGTTAAGTTCGTTATTTAAACATATGTATGTAATACACTCATATTAACACTAATCATATTTTTACGTTTTTATTCATCATTTTCAATGCCCCCCCGGTTGCATCTTTGTAAAGGACTGTGAATTTTTTGGTTGCTGGTTGGATTTAAAGTGAAAAAAATTGAAAAATATTGTGTTATATTATTTTTACCAAAATAATATATGGTCTACG